ATGGCTGTGGTACAGATGCCCGCCACCAGCTTGGCACGGCAGGGAAGGACACGGCACATGTGCTGGCTGCTGGCTCGCACCAGGGTCCTGGCAGGTGGCAGGACTCCCCACCAGTTGGCCCCACCGCTCCCCCCTCCTCAGCATGCGGGGTCCTTTGGGACAGACAAACATCCCAAAATAGCCCTGCGGTTGGAGAGGGGCTCAGGGCCCGGCAATCGGGGGGAAGCACCCCTGCCCTGCTCATGCCGGAAGGCACATGGAAGTGAGATAAGGTGGAGCAGCGTCCTGGGGAGAGGGAAAGGGCCTGGGGGCTGGCGTGGGGGTGTGCCGTCCTGAGCAGGGGGATGCTCAAACCCCGGCCTGGGCGCTGCCTGGGGGGCTGTGAGTTTCTCTGTCCCACTCAGCAAGCTGCCTTCCCCGTCATTGCGGGGATGAACCGGAGCATCAAACCCTGCAGGATCTCTGCCCAAAGCACCGGTGAATTTGCTGGCACATGGGTGCCTGTCCCCTTTGTCAGGGAAAAGGGGACAGCACCAAGATGCAGATTTGTGAAGCACAGGGGTGACCTCGCTGCCCCAGCATTGCTCCAGCACCCGCTTCTCCCCTACTGCCTCTGCCCTGAGACCTGCCCCATCCCTCCTCCTCCTCCCCCTGGGATGTGCCTCCTTTCTCTGAGGCTGCCCCAGCTGAAGGACCCCAAAACAAGCCCCCTTCCAGCACCCAGCCCTGCTTCATGTGCTGAGTGCATCGGTTTTCTGTTCAGCACCCCCTGCACTGTCAGCTGAGCCCACCCCAGGTGAAGAATAAGGGACAGTCCCCAAATGTCCTTGCCACCCTCCCGGTATCCCCCTGTTCTCTCCCTGTCCCTTCCCTTGCCCTGACTCCCAGCCCTGTTCCTCCTTTCCCAGCCCCATGTAACCTTCCTCCCTCAGCTCGCATCCCCTCCCCACAGACCCCAGTCTCCCTCCTACCTGCTTTTCCCTTTTTGCACCCCATTGCACCCACCCCAGGCTTTGTGCAGGTTCCGTGACCCCCCCCCCCCCCACACCCACACCCCGGGGGGAGGGGGCAACGCCCAGCCCCAGGGGATGGGGTGGCCAGGTCCCAGCCGCTGGATGGCATGGGGACCCACGGCAATGGTGGGAGGCCACGCTGGTCCTGTGGGTTACCAGAGTGTCTTTGCTGAGTGCAGGCCATTTCCTAGGAATAGCGGCTGCACAACTCTGCAGCCCACATCAGCTGCACTTGGTCAGTGGCTCAGGGCACAGCGATGCCGCAGTGACTGTGGGCAGAGGGAGGACAAGCCCAACCCCGTCCTTCCTCCCACTGCCCCTACGGGGGTGACTCAAAACGTGCTCCTGAGCCTGCCATGGCCAGAAACCTGGGGTGGGGCTGGAGAGACAAGCAGGAGATCGACAGGATTTTGTTCAGTTAATGCTTTTTATGTTGTTATAGAAAGTGTTAAAAGGGCTAAGGAGAGGCTCAAAGAAAGCATGGACAGGCCTGAAACGGGAGACAGCTGGGAAGTGGCTCTGTGAGGCACAGGGAGCCATGCTGGGGCCAGCTACCAGCTGAGCCAAGGATGCTCGGTGGGGCAGTAAGATCGTGGCAAGGCCAGCACAGGAGCGTTGAGATTAGCCCAGCAGTGCCACAGCATTGTCTGTGGTGCAGAGCCGTGCCATCAGATGTTAGCCTGAATTTTGCTCAGACCCTCATCATTGCAACTCCAAGAGCTTTTGATGAGCAGGGAGCCCCTCTGCCACCTGCGTGGGGCTGGAGCCACAGGCTGCCGACCTGAAAGGACACCTGGGGCAGCCAGGTCCTGCCTGCAGACAGCAGGGACACCCCCTTGCTCCAGGCACCCCACAGTGTCCCACGGGTGAGAAGGTGGCTCCATCACCCACCTTGAACACCACCACCCCCAACACACTCCTGGGGTGCCCCCTCCC